TGCCTTTCTGATGCCTGACCTCCCTCTCGCTCCTTGCAGTTGTACATAAGAATGACATTGCAGCCAGTTTCAGTGGCTGATGGCTGCAGCCCTCTTGCTCACTATTTTTTTAAAAATGTTGTCCCCATTAGTCCCTTAGACACAAAACATGGGGAATTAGGGTCAAGTTATCACACTTGAGAGGTTTTCAAGGAAACAACAGAGAATGCAATGAAAATTTCAGTGCTTCAGTTTAAAAAATCAACACAGTGAGATCTTGTTAGTGGATCTGTGATGTGTTTCAAACATGAATCTGTCACATCACAAATTAGAAAAACATATTTGTACATGGTAAATGTAATTTTTCTTAGCTCCCTTAACACCAGTTTAAGGCCTCCAAGACGTGGTTGCCTTTGGTTCCTTCTCTTTTGTTTTCTGCCTACATCATGAGGCTTTGCTTTCTGTAGTTGGTTTAAAAAATAGGAATTTAAAACTTCCTCTGCAACAGAGAGGGGGAAAATGAACACCAATTATTCCAGTAAGGAAAAAAACTACTTTGCAGAACATGGACTGGCAGCTCACTGCTACCTAATTCTCAGTCTTTCCAACATCCTGTTATGAGAGACACCTGCTGAGTCAACCTGACAGCCAATCAGGACAGATGGTGCCGCATGAACTTACACAGAAGTGAAAATCCTAGTGATGAAGGTTAAATAGTGCTAGATTTAGACGATGAGGAAATAATCGAGACGGATGAGGAAACAGCGGAGAGATGCAATCAGCAGTGGAGACTGATATACGCAAGTAAAGAACCAAAGATAGAACATGTACAAATGAGCAACAACAGGATAAACAGTTTAAATGATACTGTATGCACACTTGAAACATGTCACCCTACAACTAAATGTGAAGGCTGATCTGCATATCCACAGAACTTCATTTCATTTCCTCCCACACAGCAGTGTGTCATTTAAGAACGTTTATGTCTTGCCTTTGGCTATAATTCTAATTTCTTGCAGTGATTTATTTTGGGATATTTGACCTAGCATGAATCGTTTTTTCCCCCACTAACATCCTGCTGCACATCAGTTGAACATTTCTGTCACAACCAGAAAGACCGTTATCAGTATGGTTGCTATGAAGGATGTACAGTTTTTTACCCTAGTAGCACCCAACCTTTTCTTGTCTGACACAGCCCATTTTTCGACACCAGCCGTCATGTTTCAAGTGTGTTCATTCCATCTGAATATGTAACGCAATTTATTTCCTATTCTAGTTTAAAATATTTATTGTATAAAATATTCATTTTTTTTCGAAGATAGTTATCTGAGAACTGTCAATATTTATTTATATTTAGTGCTGCTACCACATTGACTGAAGGAAGCTAAGAGTTTCAACCATTTATTCAACTTTTATCAATCTTTTCACTGCATGTGTCACAAATCACTCAGGTTGGTGGGCATGTTCTGTGCAGGTGTCCTATTGTAGTAGGTTAATGTATCAGTTATTGTAACAATTAATATAAAAGTTATCCTCACATCACTTTCTAATCCTATTTATTGTTTTGTTTTTACCAAATCATATATATAT